CCGCTCTTTTGGTGTTAAACCTCCCTGGATTTTGAAAGACTGCTCTTTTGACATCTCACTGTCTATGCACAAGAAAGAAGATACTCCAAATTACGTCTTCAGGAGTCTAATAGCTGAGAAAACCCAAGTATTGGACAATACTGGTTGGAATCTTTTGTACACAGACGGCTCAAAATCTCCTGGTCTGCCTCCTGCTTGTGCGGTGGTAGATGCTACAGGACGGGTTCTTCTCAACCACATATTTCACGAAAGCACTTCAACTTTCATAACCTAAGCCAGAGCTATCCTTCACACTGCCAACCTTGCCCATAAAAACAAACTCAAAACCGTCATTGTTACTGACAGTTTGTCTGTATTACATGCTACCCGGAACCCTTCGACTTCGAGATGGAGCACCATCAGCAAATTAAGGAATATAATTACTACACCCGACGGAAAAATTAAAATGTTATGGGTACCAAGTCACATCGGTTTACTGGCTGATCGAGCGGCAAAGTATGCTGCTTCTGCTCCTCTAATTATGGATGATGTCATGGAAAAGTTGGATCTTCAAAGATACATTGGAAGAAAAGTTAAAGAGAAAATTGCAGAAGGAAATTTACAATACCATCATCAACACTACTCTTGCATTAACCCTCAATTAACTCCACCTCTATATCCAACAAATGTTGAGAAAACCAAGATCCAAACATTTTCGAGAATTCGCCTTCGTCATACAATTGCAACTGACCAAAGGATCCTGAAGAAGTCTTCTCCCCCAATCTGCTGTTGTGGACAAACTCTTACTATAAAGCACATTCTCTGGGATTGCCTCAACTTTTCCTTGGCTAGAAGTATTGCATTTGGAACGATTAACCCTTTGTACATTCTACAATCAACTTCAGAACAGAATATCAATTCAATATTTTACTTTATTAATACTACTTTATTAATACTGCTTATTATCTAATATCCATTTATTTAAATTAGAGCCGATAGCCTGTGTTGCTAGTGCTCAATGTTTTTTTTTTTTAGTCTAAGAATTCAATTCATTAGTCTAAAATTAAAATAATAATAATAATAAAGAAAAAAAAATTGTTTTCTTACTTGACAGGTGAACAACTGGTTCTGACAAATTTTATTGTTTTATATATTCAATCAATTCAATTTAAGATTCGAAATTCGATTGAAAAGTATATGAAATTATTTACAATTCAAAAGAAGGTATGGATAAAACATATATTGTTTACAATTCAAAGGGAGGTGTGGAAATTGGAATGAAGAACATATGAAATCAAAGTGAGGTATGGAAATTCGATTGAAAAATATATGAAATTATTTACAACTAAAGGTAAAGTTCATTTTAAATGTTTTTTTTTTGCCCTTCGGTCTCCTTCGAAAATAAAATATATGTTTTCGAAAATGCATTTATACACCATATAGATGATGCTGAATGTGAACTGAATTGTAAACCAGCAGGTATGAAATATTTTGCTGCTTTAAACAATACTGTCATAGATGGCAAAATATGCTATCGTCCGGCTGAATATTATCGGTATAATTATCAAGAAAGAGCTGTATGTGTCAACGGGATATGTAAGGTAAGTGAAAAAAAGCTTGGTTTATTTCCGCATTAATTTGGCTATTTGGCTCGGTTGGTAATGAATAGCAATAACTAAATTACGGAAGTATGAAATTGAAATTAAAAACATCATCGCTTATAGTTCTTAAAGCATATGTTCTATTTTTTGATGAGTTATTGGCGCGCTGGCTCCATTATCCATTATCATGTTTGCTTCAGATAATTCTTCTTTAAAACTTATTTTATTCTTTACATGTTGCAGCAATCGAAAAAAAAACGTAGCATTGCTGCATTTAAGTTATCCCAAGTTTTAAATGATAAAGAAAACCGCCCGACACTTGCCTTTTTAGCGACTCTAACACTTCACAAATCACTTTTTAATTGCTATAGTCACTTTGATCGCGATCAGTGCGTAATGTAATGAAGTCGGTCATTTCCCTTATTTTCGGATTCCGCATTTATAGAGAATAAGTTGGTTTAAGTTGCTTAATTTTTGTCTGCACCTTTCCTAAATTAATAGTTCTTCACTGAATAGGTTTTATCAATTATTAACCGCAGAAAGCAATATTGCTAATAAGTTAATAGTATGTTATACTTTTAGGTTTTTTTCCGTTAAGGATTTTGAGGCCAAGGTTAGTTATAGAAAAAATGGGCTTTATTGTTAATGCAGTTTATTTAAAAAGAACATTACTATTTTCCTAGCGTATGGGTTCGCGTGAGGATGCGGCTGCGAAAGTACGAGCCGATACGCAAGTTAAATTGTCGCAAATGGTAAAAGCTATTGCCAATCGGCAAGATCCAGTTATAAAAGAAATACTGCAATACATTTATCAAATTAAACCAGAAAAGTGTAGAAACTTTCAACGGAAGTAAACATTCTATAGGGAAAGCACACGTGTACACACACACACACACACAAACATTTATGTTGCACTAAACGAAGCAAACATTTCAACCCGTCTTTTTTTTGAATATTTACTTTTGTGCTTTTCTTCAAAATATGAAATACATTAAGTCCTCTCCCAAATCCTTCATACACCAGTCGAAAGAGTTGCAATAAAACTAAGCATATGTAGCAACCCAAAGTGCTTGCAACAACATACTTACTTGTGGAAATTTCATGCGCTGACACTCGAGGTCATGGACGTCTGTTACGGGCAACAGTACAGGTATATAAACGCATGTAACAATCCCAAGAGTTTCTTGCAACTATCTTTAAGCAACATATATAATAAGCAACACCGAGTTAATCAAGATTCAAGAACTTGAAAAGCTCAAAGCTGGAAGCGATTGTTTTAACGGTTTTATTTTATTTATTGATTTGAGATTAAGCGAACTCTAACTTTAATGTTAATTAAAACAAGTAAAAGGACGATAGTGGGCCACGGTCCACCATTAAATAGCTTACATCACCCCAATAAGTATTCATGTAACGACTTTTGAAAATGAGGTGTTATAAGGGAAGTGGTCGAAAAAGTGATCTGATCCGAGCCAAGACACTATGTCGGTTCGTTAATTTGTTGACATTTGCATTCAAAATTATTTCAACTACCTTGAATTTGTTTTATAGGTTTTGGGTTCATCTAGATGTTGATGTTGAAATTTTGTTGTTTTTTAATCTACGCATTTGGTAAAAGGTATTATTTTTTCAATTTAAAAAATCATTTTTTCAAATACTTGCATGTCTACGCGTGTAACGTGTTTTTAATCCGGCCCTAAGATTTCAACTTGTAATGAAAATTTCCAAAAACAAACACTGATATAGAAAAATGAAACTGAATATATTTATATAAGCCTTTTTCCTCTTCTTCCAATCTGTCTATTTATTCACCGAAAACCAAAAATTAAATTAAAAAAAAAAAAATGTAATTCATTAGGTGTACTGTGATTTTTTTTAAATTTAGGACCTATTCCAAATTTCAATTTTTTTTTTTTAAATCCAGTTCAATCAGCGGCAGTGTTTTTCTTAAGCGAAGCGGTAATTTAAAGACACTCCACTGCAGTTGGGTATAATTTCACAGTTGTTGACACTAACACCATCTTTTACGAGCGTAGCAAAGCTTATGAGCGCAACTCTCTGCTGAATTTTGGAAAAATTCCAATAATTGATTTGCAAAAGTCTGCACCGTATAGGATAAAAAGTTAAAAAATCGACAAGTTTGCTATTGATGTTGTTTGTATTATTCCAAAAATGTGCAACTGCTTTGTACGAATTCCTTACATTGTCAATCTTTATGCGAATGTTTTTACTAAAGTAAAAATGGATCTTAGTTTCAAATAAAAGTAACAATAGCTTTTTGACTTTTTCTTCGTTATTGCTCTTCGATTACGTCGTCTACGTCTAGATTTCTTATTGTTGTTCCGATTGTTGCAAGGCAAAGAATTATGATGTGTACGATGATATGTGTTCTACTTAGACTCGTGGTTATAACTCCTCTAGATTTCATTTCTAGAGACTCAACCATGTCATCAAGTGTTTGAGATAAATGCCTTTTGTTTGTTTACAATGAAAATTATACAAATTTTAATGAAACATTATGTTTTGATCGTATGAATTATAACATTTATTAATATAACTTTTCTCTTTTTTTAATGTTAACAAAAAAAATTCCCTCTTTGAATATTGGTAATTAGCTAAAAAAAAATTATTTTAACTGTTTTTCTTTCTCTCGTTGAAATTATGTAACAATGGAATCTAAACCAGTTTTTCGAGTTATGCCAGATTAAAACAAATATTAACTTCGAGTTAATTAAATAATATAAAATAAAAAACAAAAAGAGATTTCAAGGACTAGAAATTCAAATAATGTAAACAAAAAACCCATATCCTTTCCATTGTTAATATTTTAATCGAATATGTTAATTTAAATAATAGAAAACAAAGATTGTTTTTAACAAACATTTCTAAAACTGGAAATTATAAAGCATCGATAAATTTCAATTAATTGCTTGCAGAGGTGATAAACGCGTATAAAAAAGTATGTAAGCGGCACTTGAAATAACTTTTGATGAATCCAAAGGAGTAACCATGTGATCGTCAAATTTATACCAATGATTAAGTGCATCATTTTTGCAGAAAGCGGTATAATGACCGCTCTCCATAAAACCATAATGATTTGAAACGGCGTATAAACGATATAGCGTAGGTGTAGAGCGTTTCCTTTCCGAAACAGTTATATATGGCGACATATCGAGATTCTGCAATGGGAAGCGTAAGTAATTCAATTTCTTTTTGTAACTGGGACATGGCGAATCAGTATCAGCATAGAATCTACGAAAAAAAAAAAAAAAATAAATAACTAAAATAAAGAAAATATATATATTCATGTAATGTTGTCTTGTTCTTTTTTTTTCTGCTTACCGTTTTAAATGTATGACCAATACAGGTGGCAGCTTAGCTATGTTAAGTTTTTTAATGGCATGCTTCGTTGTGACGTGAAGAGCATCACGTTTGTGTTCACATTTCGGGCAATTCCAGCCATGTATACGTTCACCGCTGAAGTACATATCGAGACATTCTTCCAAATCGCATGTGCTATCGTTTTCTGGCAATTCTAAGCTTAAATTTGAAAAACATTCATAGGTGGCCGACTCGTTCTCACATTCCGCACATTTAACAATGCTTTTAATTTGTCCATAAAATAAATGTAAAATCAGACTTTCTTTAGCTTTGGTGAAATCTAACCACGCTTTATCGGACGCGGTCTTTGGTTCCCTCAAAGGATCGAGTGTTAATGTTTGTAAATCGGAATGCAACCAATCCATTAAAATGGTTAAAAACTCATGCGAATCCTGTTGTTCATAGCCACGAAACATTTTCTGATATTGGCCGATAATATACTGGAAAAATAGATTTTTACATTTTTTTTTTTTTTTTTTTTTTAACATATTTTACTGTTTTACCTTCAAATCTCTACTGGCCACATATTTGTAACCGCCCGTCCATAACATTTTAATTATGGCTGCCACTTCATCGACAATTTCTCCTCTTGTTTTATTATTTCGACTTACATAGTTTTTATATTTATCAGTTATACAATACTCAGCTAAACTCGGAGTATTGCTTAGGCACTGAATTATACTGTTCATGTAACAGGTATTGCCTAAATTTTTTAAACCGGTTAAACCCCGACCCTACAAATAAAGCGTTAAAAAATTTAATTTCGTCAACATTTTCAAGTAATCAGGAAACAGGAACAAGTTTTCTCCGTCTGAATTGTGTGCTCGGCGAAAGGATTAAATACAACAAAATAATAAGGTACCAAAATAAGAGCTTTAGAGAGAGAGAGTTTAATATTTTATCCAGATAAACTTAGTTCTGTCATGTCCATTTGACAATTAGGAATCGAAAAGGTTTCCTACAGACATGTAGAATACATAGGATTATTATATAGTATTGGAAGTTCGCGTTTCAAAAGGCATCTTGCTTTTTGGACATATCCTGCCTATAAAACGTGAGCAAAGTATGGCGAGAATATCTAAAAAACGTTTGGCATGAATTCTCTTCAAAATCATTTGCACGAGAGTCATTTTAAAAGAAGTAAGTAAGAAGGAAAATTATATACAGTCGTGCTATATAGTTGGACAGAGGGAAATGCTTAATTGCAAACAGAATGTGAAACTAGTCAAGAATTTATATACTGTACAGGATTTTCGAAGCTTGGTTCTGCTCGTTACAAAAGTATTGAAAAAAAAAAAAAAAAAATTACATTTTGATAAACCATAATATTGCGTAGACGTGGTTAATTTTTCCCATTTTTGTGCAGATA